TGCGGTCTCGCACACGGTACCTGCAAGGGGCACAAACCTGCCCAGCGCTGAGCAACTCGAGTCGCCGCTCACACTCCCCTGCTCTCCCAGGAGCAGGGCACAAGAAGCTCCAGGTCCTCCTGCTCCTCTCTCAGCTCCGAGAGGGGAATGCAAGGCAGGGTATGCAGCCAGGCTCGTCCTTAAAGCCAGTGAGCACAGGGCACCCCCAAAGCAATGAAGAGCGGGACAGCAAAGTCAAAGGGAAGTTAAAACTTTTGCATGGCCTTTCAGAGAGCTTTCATAGCTTTGTTTGTGTGACACTGAAAGTGCTCCACTAGCATCAAGAAAGGACACCTCAGGCTTCAAAGCAAAGAATTCAGATCTTGATAATATCTTTTCCTTAATGCAAAATGAGTCACATTCACATTTCTAAAGCAAAAGTGTGTGTGAGTGCATGCCTAGTTTTGCTGCAAGGACCTCCGAGCAGTCTCTCAAGAGCAAGTGATTGTTTTAAGTCTCCCTATGCCTGAAAATAGTTTGGAGTGCCCACAGCTACACTCAGCGGACTACAATAGCACTCAGAGATTACTCTGCCCTCTTCTCTGGCACAAAAAAACCAACAAAGTTATGTATTTTAGACAGGGGACTTGGAGGAATGCCCACATGCACTGTTCAAAATAAAGAACTCTATGCTTCAGAAATGAGCTTGCAAATCCCTGCAAGCAAAGTCCTGTGAGTGGCATCTACCCTTTGGTGCACAGCAGATAAAAGCGAGAGCTGTCAGTGCTGAGCCTCTCATAAGCACTAAGTGACTTGTCCAAATTCAACTGAAAAAAAAAAAAAAAAAAAACAGAGAAACAACGTGAAAACACTGCCAAAGCATTCACCTTAATACCTACAAAGTGCCCCATGGACTCCGAACGCCCTCCAGTATATCTTTGTTAGGAATTACTCATGAAAATAGATGGCAGTCATATTGCTGTGACTGCTAGTATGTGATCTTTGATCTAACAGCAAGCCTTCTTTTCAAAGCAAAAACCAATTTTCAACTCCTCAAGCCTCCCAGATACGTTGTTAGATGAAATCTGTGGTGAAACACAGTTTGAGCCCGCCTTTTTTCTCATCTCCCTCAGACTGAATCCTGCATTTAACAGTTAGTAGTCCAAATTTTACAATATTCCCTGGCCACGATAGAGACATATTTGAATTTTTTTAGCGCTTGAGAAGCCCAAGTTGTACATACTCCACGTAGCATGCATGCTCAACTCGAGAAATGCATTTTGTGGCCACATGGTCTCAGTTGACCACCCATCAAATACATAAATGCAAGTCCTCTAAAATAAACATACAGATGCACACTGGGGTCCTTCCAAGCCAGAGAGAACAGGCCAACTTTCTTCTAGAATCCAATACTTTGCTGAAAAAGTCAAGTATCATGCGAAGACGATACCTTCCTAGCAGCCTGCAGCCATCCATTCCCAGGACCAGGTAGCCAAAGAGCCTCAGGAAGCACCACCACAAGGGTGTACAGGGTAGGAGTGCCACGCTCTATACGAAATGAAACCCCAATCAATTTAATAACGGAGGCAGAGGCTCTGCAAAGTACTTCTGAAACTGCTCCCTTCTGCCATCAGTCAAAATAACAGGCTCTCCAATTCTGAAGGGCTACCACGACATACACAAAACTGAGAGCACAGACCTCCTCTGGCTCCACCAGTGTCTATACAGAGAAGTCACCCCAGGCAGGGGAGGAAGAAAACTTCAGATGGGAAACCTGAACAGTTATCATGCCTGACATGCCTAAGCACTCCTTAGAGAAGGTTCACAGACCTACTGTCTGCTCAGCAGAGAGTTTTGGCCTTGCAGGTGATGATCTGCAGACCTTTTTCGCTTGATGCGCACACAGTACAGGCTAATTCAAGGTTAACCCTCCCTGCAAGAGTGACCAAGTAGGCTAGCAAAAGATTTAGCGTCACATGTACACTGTGCAGCAGGGAAAACGGTCTGTAGCAGCATTTCTTGAGAACCGCATTAACTCCCGTGTTGACCTGGTGAAGCAGCGGACACTGAAAAGCCAAG